ATTATATATATATATTATATATATATATATAAATATAAAGAGACACAACTCAAACACGTGTGTGTGCGTGCACGTGCGCGTGTGTATGCAATTTGCTGAAAAGAAATGGTGAAATGAAATAGTTCAGTTAACCCTCAAATCGGCGTGCGTGAAATATAGTAGTGATCCGTACCATACTAGGAACAACGTAATATAGTTTTCTATTAAATAAATATATATAGCTATCTTCTTTTTATTAATTCTATTTATTAATGACTGTTTCACTTGCCTGAAATTTCCCGATGAAGTTTTAGTGAGATCTCATTTCACTAGTTACGAAAGGACCAGGAGAGTGGTTATTTAGACGGCAGTACTATTACATCTAATTTATAGCCTACCTTAGATTAAAATAAATTGAGGAACTACAACAGCTCTAATTTTCTAGTAATATTGAAAACAGTAACGTAATATGAAATATTGCAATTTCTGCTCTACCATAGCCCAACAGCCGCGGTGCTTTACCTATCCCTATGGAGGCAAGCGAACGAAGTCACACGTGAGGCCGCTGGAGGCGCCGAACATGCGAGAGACCTTCGGCGCAGCTTTAAACACGGGAAACATCCAGCTCTTCGGGCACTTCGGGTTCAAACTTCATAGTGATAAAAATGATATGAGGGATTGCAAACTCATGTTGATGTTATATACTGAGAAACCACAATTGAAATTATATATATATATATATAATATATATATATTAATATTATATATATATAGTATAATATAAAGAGACACACTCAACACGTGTGTGTGCGTGCACGTGCGCTGTGTATGCAATTTGCTGAAAAGAAATGGTGAAATGAATAGTTCCAGTTAACCCTCAAATCGGCGTGCGTGAAATCTACCTGGTTAGTGATGCAGAAGTAGTTCTTTTTTGTGTATAAAATGTAGTATTTATTCTTAATTATTTCTGATATTTACTGTATTTTCAGTTGTTTATTGATAACTATTACGCATATAATGCCTTTAAACTTTTTTAAAGACTGTGGACGAAAACAAAAAAAATAGCTAAGTATTACTTTATTAGCTCTTAAACCAACTAATTTAATAATTCCTTACGGTATTGATTCTTTAAAATATATTACACGTCCAAAAAGAACAAATTTAATATAGAAGTATTTATTTTAGAAGAAGAAAATACTAAATAACTGGAGGAAACTAATTCTAAAATGGGTAACGGACGCTGATATAAATAACATCTAGTAAAATTTCACTTATCATCCCCAAATCGCTATTGCCCTGGAAAAAACGTTATCTCCTTGAGATAGAACCAAAAAGTTAATTACAACTAGATTTAGACTTTTATTTAGTAAAAAAACGTAAAAACTGTATGTGACATATGGGGAGGTTATAGTTTCAGGGGGAGGTTATATAACAAATAGTTGAAAGACGAGTACAAGTTAAAGATAAATAAAAATAAATTTTTAAACTCACAAGATTAGCAGTATTTGAATAAATAGACATTTTCGTTTTCGAGTTGTAGAAAACTTATTTTCATCGGTAAACCAATTGCAAGTATGATTTTCTGCATTGCTAACTAAAAAGTAATTCGCCCTTACCTCTAATCTTATCATTACAAGCAAAAGGAGAGTTCAACAAGACGTGCGCATAGTGAAGCTACATTTACGTTCCAGAAGTAAAACAAGGAGCCATTTCAACATTTTCTCAATGGATCAGGAAAACTGGACAGAATCCTGATCGAAATGAGGGTCATTGACCCGGAAGCTGAAGTACATTATTTGTTACAAACGTATTATGTCTTTTAAAAAATTATACAATACAAATGTAAACTAATTCATTATATATCACTGTTTTGTTAAAATAAACATTTTTCTTTTTGATAATCTGTAGAGTAATTGTATAGAAACAGTAATGCAGCCGCAAATATTTTACTTTTAACTTAAATTTGTGAACAGACTTCAATTGTTTAACGTCATCTGGTAGTGCGTTGTAAAGTGACGTACATGTATGTGGATTTCTGATAGTGAGCTGTTGATACTGACACTTGATGAAAGTGATTTTTACGACGTGTTGTAATTATAAATATCAGTATTGCATGAAAATATGTTCCCACCGTTAAGTAAGTCACTTCTTATAAATATTACAGATTCTTAAATATATAGGCAAGGTAGGGATAAGATTCCAAGAGATGAGTAGCGGACATTTTAGCTAAAACGAAGCGGACTGGAGCGCCGAGGCTTTAAAGCATACTAGTGGGATACGGCTCTACTAACATCTCAGCTATAACTTGAAAACGTCAATTTTTCTCAACTCGTCCAAAGCGCATGTGGTCGATATCTGCATTCCGTCCGCATTCTGCATTCTTCAGTCCGAAAGTCTGGAGCATCAGATAAATTTGATTCTTACAAGTGACATAAACGGGAATAAATTTAACTGTTACAGTAAAATTGTACAGAAAAGCAATCAATTTCACTTGCCACAATTTGCCTTGATTACGTCGAAGCGGGCTTCCAATTGTTTAGTACCATAATCAGCGATCAAAACTTTTAAATGAAAGTAGTATTTGTTAGTTCTAAATTAAATCCCTTATTTTCCTTCAATCCATTTCTTTTCATCATCATCATCATCATCATCATCATCATCATCATACGTTAATCACGACCGCCAACAATAAGATCAATTCAAAAAACTTAATATAAATGGTCATGATGCCATTTTGGGATCTGAAGTGCGTCAAAAGAGGCGCGAGGAATTTGAATTTACAATTTCGATATTCGGAATTTTCAAAAAATCCAGAGTTGGGCTGCTTCACCTCCATTTTGAATTATGTACACTCGAATCACTGAAGTTGCAGCTCATTAAATTTTTTTTTCAAATCGAATTATTTTAACGCATTTTTTTTACAAAATATTTTAGGTAATAAAATGTGTTTCAATTAAAACATTTGAGTTCTGACTATTTCTTGATACTTCTTTGTTACCGGAACGAACGGGTAGCGTTCCCTGCAACCTACTAGAATATTCATTGTTTGGTTTCCTTTTTCTAGTCTTTCTTACCTACAGGTGAAATATTATATACTGTGAGGAAGTATAGAAACCACTAGAAAACAAAGTAAAAATACATAATTTAGCGCCAAAATCTTATGCACAACGCTAGGGCGTAAGTCTGTGCACAGAGGGAGGGACGTTTTGCCGTCGACTAATTTCTCAGCATTAATGATCCACAGACATAGATTCTGTCTACACCACGTGTTAAAGGAATTTTGCCCTGTGTTTATGAACTGGATTTATCCACTTTTTCGTTACCATGGTTCGGAACTAAGAGTATTTGTGCCGAAATTTCGCCGTTTTCCGGCCCACGATGTGACTTCTTACTTCATTCTTCTTACGTTAGTAAGTGCGAGAAAGTAAAAATCGATTGACTGTAAAATGTCTGTCTGTGCACAACTCTAGCGGCTAAACCATTTAGCCGATTTGTTTCAAAATTGACTTTCCCCAATCGTTCTCGCTGATGTGGACTTCGAAACCGATATTTTAATTTTGGGGGTACTTTACATGAAACCCCTCTGACATTTTCAAAATTTCGAGAGAATGGATTAAAATGTTTTGGTTAAATGATGTTGAATAGTGCAAAGGACGTTTAAGAGAATGGTTCAGATCTCATTTTCGTTTAAATACCAGATTTTTTTGAAAATTGCAAAAAAATTTAAAATTACAAAATTAAAGAAAAATTTTTGCCTCAGATTATTTCGTTTTTACTAAATTAGCTCTTTAAAAAAGATACTGTACAATTTTTTGAAAAAAAAAGTTATTTTTGCGCAATTTGCTCTTCAAATTTACGATTGTTTTCTCTCACAAACCGATCCAAATTTTTTCATTAAATTTTCTCCAATTTTTAATAAGGGACGGCATGAAATATAATGGTGCTAGTCTAATTTTCAAATATTGCCTGCTTGTTTGGAAAATTACAAAAAAATCAAAACTACAGAATTTAAGATACATATTTGTGCCTCAGAGCCAATCTGTTGTACAAAATTAGCGCTTTAAAATAGTCATGTACAATTGTTTGAAAAGAAACTTTTTGCATAATTTCCGCTTTAAATTAACGAATTTTGAACAAGTTTCACACCAACTATGGGCCACGAGAAGAATTGAATGTTTGGTACGAAAAATAATTTAATTATAATTTACAATTTAAAATGCCAATATTAATTTATTTTACTTTCTACTCAATTTGTATTTTCAATGTATTCCTTTTTAAACAATCCTCAAATCAAATAATTGAAAAATTTCAACAATGGTGCATCAGTAATTGAGGAACTAATTGTTGATGATCGTCGAGATCAGAGTCACTTCTGGGTAGGCTATCAGACACTATCAGGCACCGGTGAAACAGGCCCTTAATGTTACAAATCGTACAAATTAGTAATTAAATTACCTTTTAATACATTACTTATTTATCAACTGGTTATGATGTACTATGACTAACCGATAAATAAGTTTATATAAGAAAACAGATTGAAATTAGGGTTTTGAGAAGAATTGATATTATTCGCCAAGTGAATGCACATAGTTCGTTACTCACTTCTTGGTTGAATTGGACGTTTTCACGTAAAGCTAAAGAATTAATGTCGCAGAAAATGCAATATTTCAATATAACGTAGCTGTTTCCAATAACGCGAAAAAATGTAATGTTGTAGAACCACGAGTTAAAATAATCATGACATTAATGACCTAATTCTTCTTCAAGCGTTATACCGTAGATCGGTTGCGCACTCATCGGTGTTTCCATCTTGTGTTTGGTCGTACAACACAGATTCCCTTTTGGGTGACATTGTGTAACTTCTTTTGCAGTTCTGGAATTATTCATTCTTTCTACGTGGTTTGCCAATGCAATCTTGAAGTATATAAATAATCACAATTTAATAATATCTCTAACTTAATTCTTTCATCCTTTGTGTCCTGACGTAAAGCCCAATTTAGATCTCAAAAATCTCATTTCAGAAGCCTGAATTCTACTGGCGGATTATTTATTCAGTACCCATGTTCACTTCCACAGAGACCAGTTGGCACAGCTAATGTTTTATAAAATTTTGTGAGAGTCTTTCCTTCCCTTGTTAGGGTTCTTTTAATCTTACCGCATACGATTAAAACTATTTTCCTTTCTGCTTCAACATCCCCTTTGTATGAATGGCACAACCTTGGAAGTTAAAAATGCGGACTTGTTCAATGATTTCATTATTTACTACCAATTCACATCTTCAAGAAAGGTACCTTGAAATGCCATGGACTTGTGTTTATCAACTGAGATAATTTACTTACTCGCTTCAGCTACCGAGCTAGGAAGAAAGTTATGTAATGCTGTGCAAAAAAACGGCGACTTTTCGTCAGAAATCTCTTTACAGGGCCCTGGTAACAAAAGAGGATAAATCCAGTGACTAAATTAAGAAAACACGTGGTGTAGCCAGAGTCCATGATTTGCGAGCGCTTCATACCGGAAAATCGATTGACGCCAAAACGACTGTCCGTCTGTGAACATTTTTCTTTAAAAATAATATTGCCCGATCGATCTAACCGATGTCGCGGCCCTTTGAATTTGAAATATGTTTTCTATTTTTCTAAGGGAGGTACTTTACAAGAAGCCCCTGGGACATGGTCGTAAGTTTTCGGAAAAAATAGCTCCATCGTTTTTGATTAAAATTTGTTGTTGGGTAGTGTGAAGGACGTTTGAGAGAATGGTGAAGATCTCATGTCGGTTGGTATGCCAGATTGCGAAAATTAAAAAAAAAATCGGCATCTTCCTACAACTACATTTGTGAAAATACATTTTTCTTAACGAGGTGTTTATCAAAACTAGATCTTCAAATAATACAATGTTCAATCTTTTGAAAATATGAATTTGTTTGTTTAATTTGGCAACAAAAATAATTGCCCGCTCCAAATATACTGCGCTTCGCGAACGTAATTTCAGACAGTTGGATGCTTCGAAAGTTAGAGTTTGTATATATTTACATTTCTTTGTTCATTTCCTACATTCGGCCTTTTGTTATACATTTACACATTAATATTTTAGAAATTATTTAAAATATATATTTCTGACCACCCTAGCTCGCTCCTTACCCCCCCCCCTCAGGAAGCTCTGAAGGGATGGCAGAATGAATGCTAGCAATGAGCTTTCTGATCTCAGGAGGCAGGATCTTTCGGGTGTGAGAAAGTGTTCCAAAGACCCAGAAAGTAGGTAAAATCAGTACGTATATTCTTGAACAATTATTTACACCTTACTTAACCCTAAAATATAATCACAAATCTTCAAATCAAACAAATGTGAAACACTTCTAAATACACTCTGGAATCGGTAACAAATCCTTAGTAACTTTGAAATACCCTTAACTGACAAACTTACTGTTCTCCATGCGCTATGCACGGTCGTTACCTGATGCTAAGCTAACAAACGTTTGTGAATTGTTCAGTGAAATTTCCTTTACTCTTTGTTAAACAGAACAGTTTGAATTGCATTGACTTTTGAAAATTTGCAATTAATTTCACCAGACTTAGATTATATTCAACAGTTCCATATAATTAATAATTTTAGTATTTGAAATATTTACAGTTTCTTTCAGCGACTCATACAAAATGAAATACATGGCCTACAAAGCATTTACTGTTCTTTGCACACTCTGATCGCTACAGCTTCTGATTAAGTATTGAGTTTTCCCCACAAAATTTGTCTATTAATCACTACAATCGCGCGCTCTCTGAGTTGCCAGACCCCTCAAGTCCCGTTACAATGATTTTTTTTACCTAGTTCTGCACTCGCGTGGCGGCCGGGTTTGCCAACATCCGATCGGAACCTCTGCGCTGTGGGCTCACGACCTTGGCCTAGTGCGGCCACGCTGTCGCCTCGCTCTTCTGCAAACCAGCCGTCTGCAATGTTGTAAGATGCGCCGCCTTCTCTTGCCCTCCTCCAGATCCTCGCCAAATTTTCTCCCGTCTTGATTCTTGAAACGCCCGGCACCAGAACAAGATAATCAATTAATCTTTCTTCGCCGCTCTTCTCGTGCGGCACACCGTTGCGTATTGCAAAGTTCTGAGGCGTGTTTGATAACGGCATATTTTTGGCGTTCTTTTCGACGCACTCTCACTCGTGTAGCTAATTTTAACAGTTCAAACGCATCACAGCAGCTCAAATGATTACTTTCGCGGCCACTATTACTCCTCGTACTCGTTTCTTTACGAATCGCCAGTCTATAATGTGCGCAATTAAAATCACAGGTCTGGTGTCTAGATTCTCTTTTCTTCCAACTACTTTCTTGCACGAACAATTACTTTCCTACATACTCGCGCCAAGATGGCGTCTATCACTCTCCACTTAGCTAACTTGGAACGCACAACCGACCTCGTCGACGACTCTCCGAAGAATAAGGAGTGGTAAGATGTCCGACCTCTCCTGGAGGGGTAACACCGCGTCACACCCCTACCGTCTGACCCCTCGCGCTCGCCATAAACAGCGAGTCCGGCAGCGGAGCTGCGGGCAGTAGATTCTAAGCCGCGCTGCTTCGCACCTGCCACAGCGGGTACATTCATTGCGGAGACGTATCTGAGATCTAACTAAAATCAAATAAACCGCTTACTTAACCTCAATTTTTTTCTATAAAATAGTACATGAATTATCAGTGAAATTATTCATTAGTTTGATTTCATAGAACACTAGGACTTGGATTATCAGAATTTTCGTCCTCGTTGTCTATTCTAGCTCTCTGCTGCACTCGATATTTTGTCATATAAAATGAGATTGAAACTTTAGACGTAATAGCCAGTTTAACATTTATAAAAACAAACGAACTGAAACGAAGAAAGAGAAAAAGATTCGAGTGTCTACTAGTTTGAACTCGCTATACAATAAGTCACTGATTGGAGAGTATAGAGATCAGAGTGCAACATCCACATTCAAAGGCATTTTAATTAATACATACCTTTAGAACTATTGTTTTCTCTTCTTTTCACATAGAAATAAACAAATAGATACTGGTCCAGCAGGGTTGCGATGAGTTTAAATTTACATTTTTTAATTATTAAATCTTAGTTTTTATACCGTAAATGATATGCAGTCTAAAATCATTCTATCTGACAGCACTGCTTGTTTCGACTGGCGATTTAAACAATAAGCACTGCGTCTTAATGTGAAGTGGCTACTGTTCTGAAAATTTTTCTAAAGTGCAGTTTTTATAACTTTGCTCCTTAAGATCAATCTTGACGGTAGCATGTCATTGCATTTCGCGTTTCTTGGTCTTGTCGCAGGATGTCGAATGATTGCGACTGTATCAAGGACTCCTCGATAGGGTCGCAACATCTAACGGCAAGAGACAGATATAATGCCACCGTGAAGACGGGACTTGAGGGGCATATTTATAAAAATTGCACAATATCTTGTCGGCTTGGACAGTGCTGCGGCATGTTAGCGCGCTGTGAAATAGTTTAAAAATGTTAAATTTTTTACATACAGTTTTATTCATTCCAATGATGTTTAAGTTTTTGTAGGTAAATTATACTATACAGATACACGAATTTTTAGTAATGTTTGAAGGAAAATAACACAGATTTTATTCCAAGCAATCCGCAAACCTTAATTGCAATTTGCGCAAGAATGTGGTGGTACATATTTGAGAAATTGGTGGTGGCGATAAGATAAAGCGGTTTTATTTACAGTCGATGTTTACAAATTAGCCTTATAGAAAATATTAAAAACTTCCTTCATTATCGATATTGTTTGCGCTGTTGCGAGGTATACAAAATACATATAATCATTGAAGAAAAGGTCACATTTAATGATAATTTATTATGTATTTATGTTATTTCATTTTAAATGTCATTTGTGTTCAATGTGAAAGCGAATAGATGAGTGATCATTGTTAGTTGTCACGTCGCAGGCTATCACTCTAATAGCGGTTACTTTCAGTTCACGGAAATAAAAACGAATACTTACTTTTAAGTATTTGTAGATTACAATACCATATGGTTTAATAGTAAATATTTTTCTATCTAGCAGTTTTCTCACGCAACCAGTATTGTATTATTTATTATCTTTTAAACATTTTATTTCATCCAGTCTGCTTATTTTTCGCTCCAAATGTTCTATCATTTAGGGTTGCCACCTCTCCGGTTTCAGACCGGAGACTCCGGTTTTTGAGCTTCATCTCCGGTCTCCGGT